TATATATATGAATAAAATTATATATATTTTTATTTCATTTTATTCATGTATAAAATAATATAAAATCCTGAATACTGAGACTGAAACAAAGAAAAAATCATAATCTCCATCATCAACATTAAAATCCAAGTTACACATTACTGAATCAATAATTTAACACTCTGACAGGAGTCATAATAATAAGGCTAATTTTACTTTTGAACATAGTAACTGTGTTTGTTGCAGGATTTAATGTGGCATTACTTAATTATGGTTTTGAGGTTTTGTCGATACCGTACCGTAAGTGGTACTTAGGTTTGCGACAGTTTTGACGCATAGTGGTAAGAGATGGGAGCCAATCAGAGAGCACATCACATGTTTAGTGTTTTGTTCGTCACGCAGATAAGTGACCACAAAACCTCAGAGGAACACGCCAGTGATTCCTACACCTTCAAAATAAAATATGTTCTGCTTTGCACTAATTTAAATCTTTTACCTAAGGGAGGCTGGCTTCTCTGTATTTTTCTATCTATGCACTCTGTGATCTATGCATTCCTTCAAAAACCCTTACATATACATGATGGGATACAGCTTAAAATTCTGGAAGAAGTTTGAAAGGGACCATTGACAGATACAAATTTTTTTTTTTTTAATCTTTTATTATAGAAAATATTCAAACAGCCAGTATATGGTATATATAATTCACAGGTTCTGTGTATTAGTTACAAGTAAAAGAGTGCTCAATGCGTAATGGAAACCTCAACAATTAAAATACAGCAGTGAAACAAATTTTACCCCTGTAGAAATGAAAGAAAAAAAATGTCTTCGCCTGTGCGGTCTGTCTAAATCTCAAAATCCCTTAAATTCATATGAATAAATACAGCCAGGATAGGTAATATACTCATGATATGAATGTTTAAACTCTCCTCGTTGTTATGAAATGTTATTTTATCCTGTTTTTTTCATATTAACAGTTTGGTGCAGGTAAATTTCATTTTATTCCATCACAAAGTCTTTCTTTGAACCCAGGCAACCAGGGCTGAGTCGGTTATATGATTTTGCTGTCTGCTCATAATGGAACATTCAGCCCTTTGTCCTTCATATTACCATTGTATAAACAATTTATCTTAATTTGAAATCCGAACCGGAAGAACAGTGTGACTTCTGTTAGCTTGACGCAGACTCCAGTTCGCTTGATGCTGCGAAGTGAAACTTGCTGATCTCATCTCACTATATATAAACAGCCAGGGGAGCGGTGGTCTCTAGCGTCACTTCCCCAGGCCCTCTGTAACGGAAAGCAGCGTTTTTAGCTCCACGATGTCCGGACACGGTCATGGTCATGGTCACGGGCACGGCTGCGGTTGCGAGGGGGAACACGAGCCCGCGGAGAGGGGCCTAGAGTACGGACTGTACCGCCGGATCGACCTGGAGAAGCTGCAGTGTCTGAACGAGAGCAGGGACGGAGATGGAAAGCTGGTGTTCAAACCATGGGATCGGCGAAACGAGCGGGACAAGGTATCGGTCACACAGAGCCTGACCCCCGGTCAGTTACTCTGCACGTGCGCCCAGATGATAAAACGACTGACCGAAATGCTGCGGGTGCTGCTTGTGTGTGTGCCCGGTGAGAGTGCAGGTCTGTGGGGCTTCTGTGAGGAGCCGCTGGCTGCTCAGAGCCTCTCTGTGGGTCTACGCACTTTGCAAAACAAAGTTTCACATCAGTGAGGTTCCAGCTTGAGTCTATGGAGTCATAGTAGTACCATAAAAAAGAATATATCTATGAAAGAATAAGAAAATAAATGTCGAAATTTAAAAAGCAATAAATAAAGGAATGAATAAGTAAGTTAAACATGTAGAAATATAAAGAGAAATATATAAAATAATAAGAAACAGGCTTTTATCTTTTGCCTTTGCTTCTCCCCATTGCTTTTGCTTTTACCTATTACTTTTGCTCTTACCTGTTGCCTATGCTTTAACTTATTGCTTTTGCTTTTAGCTATTGCTTTTGCTTTTACCTATTGCTTTTGCTTTTTGTTTTTCTTGCCCAAAGCCATTTGGTTGACAGCTTGGCCTGTCAAGGAATAGCAAAAGCAATAAGGGAAAAGTAAAAGATAAAAGCATTTCCTTACTCTTTTACATAATTCTCTTTATATTTCCGCATTTTTAAATTTACCTCTTTATTCCTTTATTTATCTCTGTTTCTATTTCCTTATGTATTTTCTTATTCTTTTACAGATTTATTCTTTTTATGGCACTCCTATGACTCCACACGAGTCTGCTTAGAATATACACACCATTCTGGTCCAGTTTTGCCAGTTTATTTGGGGTGGTTGTTATAATTTGACCCACCTTTGTACCATTGGCGCAGTTCGCATCCACAAAAAGTCAGGTTATATTGCAGAGGTTCTCTTGAGGGGCAGTGGTGTCAGTGGTGGGCAGCTAATTAAGGCAATTAAAGTAGGTAATTAACTGCCGCAGTTTGTGTGAAAAGTTTTTAAGATTTAGCATGACTCACACTTTAAGAGTGTCATTATTTCCGATGTCTATTTAAAGCACACCGTTCATTGATCCGCTCATAGGAAAAAGACACTCCCTATAACTGCAGAACCTGCCTGAGAATTATCACGTTTTCTTAAGTATTTAAGTAATACAGTAATATCTGTCTGTACAACCACTGATACACTTTAAAAAGGAACTGCTAATTGCTAATTCGGCTAACTTAATTTCCCAAAATTTAAACAAATATAGGCTAAAAAACAGGGCGCAATTTGTAGTCTGCAGCGTAATTCACAGAATCCATGGCATGGTCATATAAGTGAAGAATTCTAACTTTTAGATAATGATTTTTCCACAATGTCCAGTTGTGATTGCTCATACTGGGACCAGTTTGGCCCAAAAACAGTCAAACCAGTATCCCAGTCTGATAATGTGTAATGTGCACTTTAGTGTTCGTTTTATTGTTGCTGTGAATCTTAAATTACTCAGAAAGGATTCGCTTTTTCTTCTCTTAGTTTGTCGAGAGCGATGCAGATGAAGAGTTGCTGTTCAACATCCCGTAAGTTCTAAAATTCTATATCATCATCATCGTCATCATCATCCGTTTTGTCATCAGCTTGAATGTTTTTCTCCTGCATGAACACTGACTATTTTATGCTTTACTGTCTGTACACACAGACTTAAAGTATATTTATAGACTAACACACACAACCCATTTGCAGGACCAGTGCTTTATTATTATAAAATCTGTTAGTATATACAGTAAGATGTTAATGAAGCTTTGCACCAATGATACTGTGATGATCACCTACACGTTTTGTAATTTCAGACCAAACTGACTGATTTCATTTTCACAAGTCACTGTTCATCCTTCATGGCAGCGTCTGCCTTCCTCTTGTCTTTCACTCTCACAGTGTCCTGTTTTTAGTCCTGATAGCATCTTTTCCTTCATTTTTTTTTTTTTTTCTTTGGTCTAAGATTGTAACGAAGGAACTATGTTGCATCTCATTTAGTTTTACAGGCAGCGTGAAGCTGAAAGGCATCATCATTTCTGGAGAAGACGACGACTCTCATCCAGCTGAGGTTCGACTGTGAGTGTCTGTCTCAGCTTGTCTGCTCAGGGGTCAGGGAGGTAACACAGGGTAAACTCCTTGGTCCCAGGATGCCCAATAGTCTTGGTTTGATAAATTAATTGTGTACATTATAGTAAGGAGTGTTTTACTGATTTTAAGTTCCAGTAAGATAGGACCTTTTCCAAAAAAAAAAAACTATAAATATAAAAAATGTTATATATTTCTTATGCTGTGTTCCTTATATTACCTGATTATCTCAAGACTTAAATGGTTATCCATAAATAAAACCAAACAACATAAGCATAAATCAAAACTAATTTTTCATCCTAGGTACAAAAACATCCCTCAGATGTCCTTCGACGCCACCGGCAGAGAACCTGAACAAGCCTTCAGACTCAACAGAGACCCTGTTGCTGAGCTGGAGTACCCAACAAAGTGAGACCAGCAATAGTGTTTAATACACTGTCTTACTTAATCATCATTTTTAATCGCACAGATGTTGCACAATTTAGCTTCATGTAACAGATGTTCCTGTCAGTCACATATGAAGGCTTTTAGATTTACCACAGGAAGAGATTGAGAACTGATAAAGTAATGTAATGTAAGCACTGTGATCATTTTCACAGCTTTCGTCTTGACATGTCATCCCTGTTTGTGTTTCTCTTCACTCATTTTTACCTCCATACCGCTGCTCCATGCTGGTTTCCATCAGTACCTTTTTATATTTCTCAGACACCGTCACACATTCCTCAAGCCTCTGCCTCAAATTAATTGTTGTGTCATGATTTCCAGGATCGCTCGGTTTTCCAATGTTCAGCATCTCTCCATCCACATCTCAAAGAACTTTGGAGCAGAGAGCACAAGGGTCTACTACATCGGTCTGAGGGGCGAATACTCAGAGGTCAGTCTGAAGTGTCCATGACCAGTTTCACCTCCTGAATGCTCCTGGGGCAAAAATTTTCTGTTGGGCAATTTTTGTTGCATAAACCACAGACAGGACTCTGGATGCAAATTCATGTCTGTGATGTGACTGTCTGCATTTGTAATCCAGACAGTGGTTACGTCTCCTTTTTAAAACATGTTTGCTGTTGCAGTTTGGCTGTATCTAAATGGAATTTGTAGGATGCAGGGACACAAATCAATTCAACTGCAGCCGCCAACATGACCATACAATTGAATCAACACCTCTCTACCTAATAAACCGAGATATTATTTTGCCTCATCTTTTGTTCTGAGGGCAGCAGATTCTGATTCATTGATAAATAAAGTAACTGTTACATGTTTTACAGTTGAAAAACCTGTCATTGCTCTCTGATAGATGAACTATATTACAAAATGTAATACTGTTTCTAAATGACCACAAACATTTATTTGGTATTTTTATACTGTAATTTCTTGTTCCAACATTTAGCTAAAACCAGCCAATAATATCAGCCATGCCAATGTATCAGTTGGTCTCTAAATGTAATGATCTTTTTTTCTAGTGCAGGACTGATGTTTAACTTGTTGTTTTCCCCTCTTCAGCTCTGTTGTTCTGTTTCTTTAATGGATTTTGTACTTTTCTCTTTGTACTTTTCAAGGCTCACAGACATGAAGTGACGATCTGTAACTATGAGGCGGCGGCAAACCCTGCAGATCACAAAGTGGAGAGCATCATCCCGCAAACCAACTTCATTTCCTGAAAGCTTCGGAGAGTCATGAGGAGGAAGAGAGGGAAGACGAGGAGAGGTTTCAGTGGCGTCTGCTGACTGTCATTGACACGAGTCAAAAAGTCAAAGATGAGTTCAACGCTGCGTACTGGCAGGTTGGTCAAGCTCGACCGGGACAGAGCACTGAAGTCTGAAGACCAGAGGGCTTCAGATGTGTCTGAGAGTGCCAAGTTGTCGCTCTGTTTTCTCTGGCAATAAAGAGTGAAGGCTTAGTGTGGGCAAAAAGCTTAATAATAAATGCATGAAACATTTGACACTCAGATAAAGTCTGTTTGTTGTCAGTTTAATCTGTATACTCTGATTCATCAAGACATTCATCACTTCAATAAAGTGACAGCTGCTCTTAAATAAAACAGTGAAGGCTGGAAATTAAACCAAACAATGGTAGTGTTTGATTCATTAAATGACTTTTGTTGTCATGTTTACACTCTGGATCCATAATCGGCTCCACATAATGATTTTTAGGTATAAAACATGTAAACAAACTTCAATAGTTTCAAACATCTGCAGAAAAAACACTCCTATCTAGAGTCAGCAGCCACTCTGGATACATGAGCACCTTTTTAGATGGCAAAAATTCATATAATGTCTACACAACTACATTATTTGCCTTTTGTAAAACCAACACATTGTCCATTAACCATTGTTGGATATTTTCTGCCACCTAGTGGATTATTTTGTGACTGTTTACCTGTCTGAGCAGTAACTGAGATGGGCCCAGATAGCAAAATAAATCCAGCCCATACTGGGATCACATGCTTGTTTTCTTCTGGCTCAGTATATGCCTGGTTTTACGGCCCCAGTGTGGCCCATGTACAGCATGATTTTCAGCTGCTAATTCCACATCTGGGCCAATTCTGGCACACACACAGAAAATCTTGCAGCTGTGACTCAATCTAAGAGCGTAACAGCCAGAATCTGCCCAGATGTGGAAGTATATGGGCCAGACTCGTTCCGAGGATCCAGGCATATGTTGGGCCAGAAGTTTAATTTTGCTACTTGGGGGTTCTCACAGTCCAAAAATGCTCTATTTGTCCTTCTTGAGCTGCTCTCTGCATGACAATTGTCCTGAAATGTCTTGTAGTAGTAGTAGCAACTGCTCCATTACAAGTCAGAGTGCGGCATTAAAATGCAAATGTGCATAAGTATTATCAACAAAAATGATCTTAAAGTATCAAAAGTAAAAGTTCTAAACATGCAAACTGGCCCATGTCAGTGTTGTATTATCATATTGGATCACTTTTAAGCAGGGGCGTAATAGTGAGGGGAACCATGGTCTGATCATAGTGAGGGCCCCCAAAAAAAGATTTGCATGGAAAGCTGAAGATTGATTGTAATTTGTAATTTTCTCTCTTAATAAATCCACGTTTATACCCCACTGCTGTATGCAAATCCTCAATTGTTTCCAAACAAGCAACTAATATAAAGTATAATTTTCCCCTCTGAAATATGTTGGAATTTAACTGTAATGCAGCAAGTTAAATCAGAGTACTTGAATAAATACACAGAATCACTTTTACCACTGTATATTGATTATATATTGATTTTACCTGTTGTGAGTAAAAAAAAAAAAAAAAAAATCAAAGTCGCGATCAGAGCGGGGCGTTCTTATCGGGTTGCTTAGCAATGACGTCTGCACGTTCTGTCCCCGCCCCCTGCTGGTGTGCGGCCAGTAGCGGAAGTTCCGTTCCGTCGTGAACTGGGACAGCAAGCGGTGAGTGTATGAATTTGTGTCAGCTAGCGGGCCAAGGGTCTAATTTTTAACTACTTTAGCACGACCCAAACTGAACCGTACCGAGGCCTTTTGGTGTTTAAGGTATTTTCTAAAAAGGACCAGTGTTTCAGGTCCGAATTTGAATCGTAACGGTAGCTTGAGGCAGGCGAAGAGAGACACCGGCAGACAATACGATTAGTGTGTGAGCGACGTTAGCTAGCAGCAGCTCTACCAATACTAGCCCGTTGTTGTGTGTGTGTGTGTGTGTGTGTGTCTCTCTGTATGTGCGCGCGCGCGCGCGCGTGTGGCTAAACCGGGATTAAACCGGACTGCGAAGGTCGGGAGGCAGTCAGTCTGTGTTTTTTGGGGGCAGCAGAGGCTTTGCACTGCTGAATGCCATCACTACGATGATGATCATCATCATCATGATCATGATGATGGGGCGCATAACAGAGCTAACCATTCATTGTCTCTTTCCCCTTCGACACCTCCACCACCCGCTCCCTCATTTGACATGTTAGCAACACCCGCTTTTGACTGCAGTGTGTTTCTACATGCGCTAACTAGCCGAGAATCAGCAGGCGCAGAGCACAGTTAGCTGCTGCTGCTAGTGGAGGGTGGTGGTGGTGGTGGAGGTGGTGGAGGAGGTGTGGGGGGGTGCCTGTCACTCAGTGCCGCATATTATCCTGTTGTTTGCCAGCTATCCGTAGCCGCAGAGCAGAGAGCTCTTGGAGTGCAGCAGCCTGCTGTTTGTGTCTGTGTTTCCAGCCGTTTGACGTCCACACATAGGGGCTGCAGCACGCCTCTGTTTTTGACTTAAATGTAATTGGAGTCATGCAGGATGGAGCCTCGTGATGTGCTTTAAGTTGTCTGCAACACAGCTTTCATTTTTCCTTTCCCTTCTTGGTTCGTGTCACCTAAAAGCAACACTAGGACATTGCTGTTGACTTAGATTTTCCAAAAACCTAAATCTAGATATTACAATAACCAAAATGCAAGAAGATACCCACTATCATCTGGCAGTATTTTACTTACATTATCGATAAATGGATTTGTAGTTGAATGAAGTGTCAAAAAATATTGAAAAATATTGGCTATAATTTCCCACAGCCCAAGGTGATATATTCAAATTGCTTGTTTAACCCAAACATCAACCAAAATCTAAAGATATTCTGTTTGGATTTTCTTCTTAAAAATGGTTAATAATCATTGCAGCTCTAGTATCAATGTTTATATCAACCGGGCATAGCTCCTAGATTTACTTCATGTGTCTTTTAGGAATTGTATGTCTTTGTACTCCCACAAAATGTTCTCCCAGTGTTCTCTGTTATCTCTCAAGTAAAAATACAAAAATGTTTGCCAGTTGTAACTTCTCAAATATGAGGATTTGTTAATTTACTCTATTATATACCCTGTTCAGCAAAGTGTCTTTGCTGCACGTCAAAACTATAAAATGAAAGAAATGATTAGGACAAACCAAGAGGAGGAATGGTTTTGTAAAGACGACCGAAATTAATCAAAAGAGACAGTACGGAGAAAGGTTATTTAAAGCAAAAATGTGTGTTTTTAAAATTGAGTTTTTAGTAGAGATTTAAAGGAAATCACAGAGGTGTAAATAATCATTAGTCACAGCTTTTGACATCAGCCTTAATATAACTCAATGCCCCAAATCTGAAACTATAGTTCATACATTTCCATCCGCAGTTTGTCTCTGCTGGAGAGCCATTAAAAACCAAGGAAATGTGAATGCAGGTTGCAACTGCATCTGTTAGGTGTTTTAAGGAGGGCACAGCCAGAAGATGTAAGCAGAAAGGAACTGCATCAAGAAATAAATGAAATCCAGTTGGTATGCTTGAACAAGCCTTGTTTTCACTTGTTTTTTTTAGACCGGACCTGAATTGGACTGGATGCTTGTACGCAGCGTGACACTATTTTTAACCACCGGCCTCTTCCAGAAGCAGAGAGAGTGAGCCATTGTTTCTTACAGCGTGCTCTGAAAACCCCACACAGTGTTTTATGCTGGTACTCTGGGTTTCAGGTCATTATGAATCTCCTCAACAAGAACAGGTGGAAAAAAACAGGCTATAAAAGTAATAAATTGCCTCTTTGCATATGCTACCACTTTTAGAGAGCTTGTCCTACTTGGTTGAACAGATTGTTCAGTGTCCCTGCACTCCTCCATCTCTATCTTCTCTTGTTATCTGTTTCTTTGTTTCACTTCTTCTCTGTCTGCTTTCAGTCACGGTATCTGTCAGGCTGTGTCTGTTCCCTCTGAGATGCCAGAGTGCAGCTACATTGCATCTGTTCAAAAGACAGGTTTTCATGGTGAATTAAAATTTTGGTGACGAGTGCACATCTTGTGATGCACATTTTGTTCATGTCATTTGCTAAAAGAGATTCATACTGAGGGATTGTTCTCAGCTCGAAATGTTTGGTAGAAAACATTCAGGGGTGGAAGAAATATTCACATCCTTCAATTTAAAATATCAATATCACATTTTCAAAATATTCCATCGCAAATATAAGTCCTGCCTTTAATTACCTGACAAACTACTTTTTTTTTTGTTTAATCATTCAAATAATTGTAAAAATAATGGAAAAAAACACCCATTGAAGCTTTCCAGAAACCAAGGTGATGTGTTTAGATGTCATTTTGTCCGACCAACTGTCCAAAACTCAGAAGACAAAGAAAAGCAGCAAATCCTCACATGTGAGAGCCTGCAGCTAAAGAATGTTTCTCATTTTTTCACAATCTATGCTTGAAAAATGGTTAATTATTAATTGGTTTTCAAAATATGTGCCAATTAATTTTCTGTTGATTAATCACCTAATCATTTCAGCCCTAATTTGATCCTTAAACTGTTATATCAATGAAGCAAACTGAGTACAGAGGGGAAATGTCTGTTTGCTGGAACTGATAACAGCTCATAAACGTCTGAAATGTGATAAGACTACAAAACTAGACACTGATTTTTTTTTTATGAGCAGCCAAAAAGTTGGGGCTGACTGGTTTAATAATTAACAATGCATTGTATTTTACAGGTTTATCAAATATTTTGTAACAAAATAACAGCTGTCAGTGAAATGTAGTGGAGTACAAGTATAAAGTAGCATAAAACAGTGCTTGAGTAAATGTACAAGAATATACATGTGGAAGTTTCTTTCTAATACAGTTTGATGTTTAAAATATTAATTCTAAAACTTTGTCCTGCACTGAAAGAGACTGTTTCCCAATCCTTTTTCCTGCCCAGTTATTATTCAGCTATTACTCATTCATCAAGGGTCAGGATGCAGGATGCCTTTTGTCCACTCTTAAATGACACATTTACCGTCCACTTCCATGCATTTTTGGGGTGAATGTGACCTTCAAATGGGAATTAGTCATGTGCCAAAAATAACGGCAGTGGTGGAATTTTAACACCCTTGGAGCTTAATCCCGTTCAAGGTTTACACATTAACCTTTATGTTTCAGACATTTCCCCTGTCTCCTCATCGTCTCTTTACCAATCAGGCAGCGCAACGTCTGACCCGCCCATCCTGCCTTGTCTTGTCCTTTCTCACATCATCAGGAAGTTAAAGACCATTAATGAGCAAAGGCTTTTACCGCCCGGCTTTACTGTAAAACAACAAACTGATCTCATGCTTGTGTTCGATGGCTGACTCACTGTCTTACAGTTGATTTACAGAGCGGGCGGGGGTGTGTTTCATTTAGTTAATGAGTCCCCTCACTTGCTGACTACAGAAACCTGCACAAACACATACCTCATGACCGCTGCTGTAGATTCAGCAGCAGGTTCATTATGTGCTCGTCTGTATAAGTATGTTGAGCTTTGTTGTTCCTTTTTGCGGGTTGAACAGCTGCACTGAAACAAGCTGGAGTTGTAACTGTCAGACAGAGCTGCTCATTGTCATCGCTGACTCCAAAACAACATGTAACTACACGAAAGGTGCCACTGTACACGACACTGCATCACATGTGTCTGTAAGTCCCTTGCTTTGAATAAATTATGCTGGTTTCAGAATTTGAATACATCCTGGTGAGTTTTGTGACCAATCAAGTTTGGATTTAAAGAGCATTTCTTTACCCAAGAACAAGAGATTATTGTGCTTTGAAAGGAAGCCTGCTGTTTCCAGCATTTATACTTGATATCATACTAGCAAATAACAATATCATTCTTTCCATAGTAATAATAATGATAATAATAATCTTTAT